CCAACTTTGCACTACGGTCAAAATCCATGGTCAGGATGCGCTCCTTCATCAAGGCTACCCTTGCATCCCTGCTTCTTCCGGCCTGTCCTGAGCCAATGCTGACGTCCAGGGAGCTCTACATGGTAGAATTGACATGTAAGGGTCTGCGGATTTGGACCATAATGCGGGTCCTGGCCAAGCCATTCTGGAGCCCAGGATCTGTGTGTACGCCCCTTCCAGCTTCCCCCCTCCGCGCCCCTCCCGCTGTCTGACCCCCCGCGCGCCAACGCCCCTCAGCCTGCCATCCACCTTTTCGCACCCCTTGTCGGGCTTCCTGTTTTCCTCCCTCCAGCTGGCGGGCGCCGATCTGCTGTCACAGCCTTTGTGTGTGTGTGTGTGTGTGTGTGCACGTTAGCTTCCTCTCCTCCCCTCCCCACTCTTGCTGCCAGTCAATTCGCGATGCCGTTGCCGGGTTTGCCCGAACGCGCGTGCAGATTGCCTTTGCCGCGCTGCGACGTAAAAGTGTGTGTGTGTGTGTGCGTGTGTGTCTGTGAGAGCGATGCGGCCGATCGCGTCCCGCCCTGGCGCCAGGCTGGCCCCCCCGCCGTGCGCCAATTCTGCCGCGTGACTACACCCCACACTGCAACCCCCACGACAGACTGTACCTCAAACCGCGCCAGTCCATTTCCAGGCACCCCTGCTGGAACTGCACCGCTCAGCGGCAGGAGAACTGGCAGTTGCAAGTCGTCTCAAGAAAGAATGCGTCCCCATATTGACCATTGACTGGAACGCCATATGCGACCACAGAATGGGGCATGCAGGGTCCACCAGAGACCGCGGCCGCCTTTCCCCGGACTTCTGCCAAGAGTTCGTGTCTCAGTTCGCCCAGTCCAACTTCGACGTCCGCACGCACCCTCTGCCGTAACAAGCGCATCCACGTCGACGGGGGGACGCCTCATGGGAGCAGGAGATCGAGAAGATGAGGCTCAGCGCCCAGAGCACCAACCTGCCCCCACGGCGCCTTGGGGCCACCGGTCCTCCGGCTCCCATGGGCGCGGCGCGCTGCGTTGCTCGCGCCTGCCCTTTCTGCCGTTGGCCGCTGCGCTTGCCTTCTGGCGAGCTGGTCGTGCCGCTCGCCTTTGCGTGCACCTCTAGCCCAGCTTGGCGTGATGCTGGGCTCTGGCGCCGCGTTCGACGCGGCGACCTCGCGTACAGAGCGGGGGTGAAGGTAAAGTCGCACCAGGACGTGCCGACCGCCCCTCAGACAGAGGGCGAGTGGCGGATCGTCCTCAACTCGTGGGCCGACGAAGCGGCCAAGGAGGCACTCAACCTTTGGCCCAGGCGGGCCCAAGACGAGGCAACCCTGGAAGATGCCTGCGCAGAGGCGCGGCGTGGACTGGCGAATCTGGGGCGGGTGCTGGCGTGTGGGCCTGCTCCCAAGGCGGAGTGGGCTCACCTGCCCCCGCGCGCTCGGCCACCGACGGCTGTGAGGCCGTGCTTTCTGCAGCACGAGCTGCACGAGGTGGCCGATGGCCGCTGGCGGTGCGTTCAGTGCTTGCACGGGTATCGGAGCTGGAAGGCTGGCATGGCCTCAGAATGTGGGCGCGAGGCGCCCAAGAGCTGGAGGAGCCTGCGTGAATTCGCGGGCTCACATGTTTTGCGGGGGGTGGTGATTGGCCCCAAGGGCTGCCCACCCGATCAGGGTGACTTTATGCTGTACTGTGTCCAGTGCGCACAGTATGCGCAGCAGCATCCCGTCGGCTTGGCCAAGACGTGCCCTGCCAGACGGCCTGGTTTTGTCCTGGACAAAATGGGCAAGGAACGAAGGGGCCGTTTCGACCGCGGCCTCCACCCCAGAACGGGAAGGAAGGATGTCGTTCTCGAGAGCTGGGCTCTCCAAGATCTTGGTTTCCTCACTCATGGGAGTGAGCTCTGTGCGTAGTGCACCCCCGCAGCTGGCATGATCGGCGCCCCACGGAGGAGCACAAAAACCCGTGGGACAGCCGCCCTGGCGCCTTTCTGCCCGGGTGGAAGCCCCTGCCCCGCCGTTGCATTCATTCCCTGCCCCGGCAGGACGGAACGCCGGTCTTCTGCAGAGTTTTGGACAGGCTTCGCCTGTGGCCTCCCCCGTTTCTGTCTGGCCCTTCCCGGTTCCGGGAGCTGGCTGGCCTTGGCCGCTCCCTCCGGCCGGCCCCCCCTGCTTGGTTTTGAGGCCTGGCTTGCGGGCCTCGTGCCAGCTTTGCCGGTGGGCTTGCTTGCCCGCTGTTCCGCCTCTCCCCGGCGTCCCTGCCCACAGGGTGCCCGGGTCGCTCGCCACTTGAAATGGCGCGTCGCATGTCCCATGGATCTCGGCGCCTTTGCTCGCTGCGTTAACTGGGCCCTTCCCAGATACCCCCGGCCCCACCCCTGAGGTGGTCTTCTGCAGCTGCCATGTCGCCTGGAAGGTCGGCCCGACCTCGGCTCACGGCCGCATTGCTGTGCTGCCCGCCTCCAGCACAGGATGGGCCTGTTCCCCCCGCCCGGCGCTGCCGCCCCTGGCTGCTGCCCCCCTGGCTGCCCCGCGGCTGCCGCCCCGCTGCCCTGGCGCTGCCCTGGCGCTGCCCTGGCGCTGCCCTTGCCGCGCCCTGGCCCTGTTCTGAGCAGGCCCGGCTTCCCCTCCTTCCTACCCGTGCCGGGCTTCCCCCGTTCCCTCTCTTGCATCCCGGCTTAATTCGCATCTGTACACCCTACACATGTCCTATCCGCCAGCGCAGTCACTCTGCCTAGCCGCCGACTCGCGTGTGTGTGTGTGTGTGTGTGTGTGTGTGTGTGTGTTGTTGTTGTGCCTCGGCGCCCGCCACAACGAGCCCGCCAGCAGCCCGGCGTTTCACGGCCGCGGCCAGTGAAGCACAGGCCTGCCCGACGTCGGGCGCAAGTCGTCGCAGTTGCGGTTGCTCCTGCGCCGCCGCTCGGGCTCCTCTGACGTTGGCCGCTCGGCCTTGCCTGGACACGGCTGCCCCAGCAGCGCCGTCAGTTTGGCCGCGTGCAGGCGCCGCACACGGTGCACACTGTGTAGCCGTGCAGGTCTTCGACCAAGTGGAGCCTTCCTTGCGGCTGCGGCGGCGGCGCAGTGCCAGCAGCGCTGGCTGGGGGCCAATCCGAGGCTTTTCGCGGCGCCTCAGCCCGCGACCGCACCGCGGCGGGCTCCTCCGCCCGCGCCGCCGCGTTCCGAGCACGCACCCTGGTCGCTTCGCGCACCGGTGCATGTGTGCGGTGCCGAGCAGCGGACGGTTCGTCCCCGCTGCCGCCAGTGCTGGCCCCGCGCCCGCGACGGCGGCCCCGTCCTGTTGCATCGGCTGGTGGTGGCTGCCCAGTGTCCTCGTGTGTGTGAGTGTGCACGTACGTTTTATGTTTTCGCCGCGCGCCACAGCCTGCCGATTACCAGGGACGTTGCGTCTCTGGTTTGTTCGCGATCGCCACACGTGCGACTGCAGTTTGCCCTGGCGCGCCTTGCCAGCGTTTGACAAATCAATTTTTCGGCGGGTTTGCGCGGCCCGGGTCCCCCCTCCTCCCCTTCCTGCTTGCGACTGCGGCCTCCCTCCGTACCATGCCCTGATGGGCACGGACGAAGTCTCTGGCGGAGCGCGCACGCTTCTGGCGCTCGCTCGCTCGCCCCCTCTCCCGACTCCTCCATCTCTTTCCTCCTCCTGCTCCTCCTCCTCCTGCTCCTCCTCCTGTCCACCTCCTCCTCCTCCTCCTCCTCCTCCCCCTCCTCTTCCTCCTCCTCCCTCATCCTCCATGATACGCAGTTCCCTTTTTTCTCCTGGTTGAGCATTACATGAAAGGGTCCTCTTTGGAGCTCCAAGTCCGTTATGGCACTTGTCGGCAGATAGGGAAATCATCAGCGCAACGGGGATGGATCGGTGGGAGGGGTAGGATGTCAGTTGCGGCGACACAGCCCGTAACGCAGGACACCATTTAGTCATTCGGTTGAGTTGTTTCCCAGATCCAAAGTGGAATTGTTCTTTTTCTTTTTTCTGGACACCCCGCGCAGTCCTGTCACCTCACCCCCTCTCCTCTTCCGCCTTCGCACGTTCACTCGCTCAATCACTCACGCATCATCATCATCATAACACCTTCCGCTTTTTCTCCTTTCGCACACTCACTCACCCAATCATTCGCGAAGTTGTCCTGCAGCCACTTCCAATCAAGTAAGCGTCTGCTCTGCGAACGTCTGGGTGCCAGGCGCTACTCGAATGTGCGGGTAGTGCATACTTTCTGAACACGCGTTACCTCATGGGTGCTCGACGTGACCACCAGCTTACACCCGCCATGCAGCAGCTGGCGGACCATCAGCAAAGCGGGGAGAGCGCACGCTCGCCGACCAACCACCTGCTCAGCAAGTGCAGGAGCCCAAATGGCTAAGAAGAAGATGATGATGATGATGACGATGATGATGATGATGATGCTGATGATGATGATGATGATGATGCTGATGCTGATGGTGATGATGATGATGATGATGATGATGATGATGATGATGATGATGATGATGATGCTGATTATTGATACGATGATGAGGCCAGTGGTGATGATGGTGTGTGAGTGATTGAGTGCGTTATAGTACGATCGTATGTGGTGAGTGTGTGACTGATGATGCTAGGGTGAACGATTGAGTGTGAGTGATTGATTGCGCGATAGAATGGTCGTGTGTGGTGAGTGTGTGACGACGGCGGGGGCGACCCTCCTGACGATCCCGACTGCGGAGCTGCTGTTGATGACAGTCCCTGGCCTGATGGACCTCCTGACGGTTCTCCGGGCTGTCGTCGATTTCCACCGCCTTCGGGTGGTGGTGGTGGGAGTGCTGGTGGATCTCCGCTTAAGCGTCCTCATGCTCGGGGTGTGCTGCCTCCTCGTCGTGGCGGTGGTGGAGCTCCGCTCCCCTTGGTTCCTCGGGCTGGTGGGGGTGGAGGTCTTCCTGATGGACGTGCGCTGCCTGATGGACGTCGGACGTGCGCTTCCTGATTGCCGAGCGCTTCCTAATGGACGAGCGCTCCCTGATAGACGTCAGCTTCCTGTTGGACGTGCGCCTCCTTCTGGACGTGTACCTCCTGATGGTCCTTGGCTTCCTGATTGCCGAGCGCTTCCTTATGGACGTGTGCTTCACGCTGATCGTGGCCATCATGATGGTCGTGGACTTCCTGATGTACGGTTGCCGGCGCTGCCTGCCTTTCCTGCTCTCTCCGACGGAGTTCCGAGTGCCGATCTTCCGGTGCAGATGTTGGTGGAGCTCAAGGCTGTGCGAGCTATGTGGAGAAGCTTGCTATTCGTGCGGCAGCGTCTTATGAAGTTCGTCACTGTCGTGCCTGGCTCTGTCGTCGATCTGTACTTTGTGCCCTGGCTGCTGAGCGGCGGCAGGCCCTGATATTCAATGCCGAGCTTCGTGCACTTTTTCTGCGGTTTCTTGCTGATCTCTCCCAGGTCTTGGATAAGTTCGACGTTGCTCATGCGGCTCTCTCTGCTCTTGGTGGTGATGGTCCTCTTGGCGGTGTTACTCTCGTCGCGCCCTTTCCTGATGCAGGTGCTCCTCCAGAGCATATCCCTCGTGCGGACGGGGGACTTCGTGGTCCAGAGGTTCTGGGTGACCCTCCTGACGGGATTTCTAAGCAGGACCGCTGTCGGCAGATGCTCAGGGCGATCGGAATCACACCTGAGATGCACGCCTCATTTCGTGCTCCCACTGGTACCTCTATGTCTATGTCCTTCTCTTCGGCTTCCAATTCAATTTGCAGCTGGCTGCACGATGATATGTTTTGACCCGACGGTTATCGTTGGCTGTGAGTAGTAGGGAGTGGCTTCGGTGGTCTGGCCCTGAAACGGGTCGGCACGGCCAGGTGGGTGCCTCCTGGTGATGCTGCACACCTCTGCGTTCAGGACTCAGGGGAGGGTGTTTCGGTGGTCTGGCCCTTTTCGGGGTCGGCGCGGCCAGGTGGGTGCCCTGCGCGGGTGCCTCTGGTGATGCCCCAAACCCTGCCGTTTTCTTCACCAACTACGAACAACAAGCTAGCCCTGGAAACAAATCATCATCATCATCATCATCATCATCATCATCATCATCATCATCATCATCCACATCACCATCTTCTTCTTTATCTCTCACATCATCATGACCATCACTCGCCTGCGTGTCGTCTCGGGCGGGAGCCTCATCTGTGAGTGATTTGCGAGGAAGTCTCCGGTGGGAACCCCCTCCCCATGAGGCCCGCGCTTCATGTTCGCATCCGAGGCGGGTCATCGGCGTCGTGTAACCGTCGTCACTTCTGGGCTCCTGAAACCTGAATATGGAGGATGTATCAGGCGGGGGCCTGGTCTGTGAGTGGACTGCGAGGAAGTCTCAGGCGGGGGGCCCTTCTCTATGGGGTCCGCACTTCATGTTCGAATCCGAGGTGGGTCATCGGCCTCCTGCAACCGTCGTTACTTTCGGGCTCCCGAGGCCAGAATATGGAGGGAGTGTAAGGCGGGAGCCTCGTCTGTGAGGGAATTGCGACGAAGTCTCAGGCGGGAGCCTATTCCCTATGGGGCCCGCACCTCACGTGCTTTCTCTGGGTCGTCCTCTGGCGCGCGCTTCCTCTGGGTCGTCCTCCGGCGCGTAGCCGCTGGGACGCACGTCGTGCGTTTCCTCTAGGCCGTGTTCCGCACGAGGAAGAGGAGGAAGAGGAGGAGGAGGAGGAGGAGGAGGAGGAAAAGGAGGAGGAGGAGGAAGAGGAGTCAGGAGGAGGAGGAGGAGGAGGAGGAGGAGGAGGAGGAAGAAGAAACATAATAACAATAAGCATGCTACTACAACAACAACAACTACTACTACTTCTACTTCTACTACTACTACTACTACTACTACTACTACTACTACTACTCATACTTCTAGTAATAATAGTAATCATAATAAGAAGCAGAAGCACAATACTAATAAAAACAATAATAATAAGATGAGTAATAATAATAATAAGACGAATCATACTAATAATAAGAAAACGAATAATACGAACATGCATAATAATAATAAGAATGATACTACGATTAATAATGACTAGAAGGAAAATTAGTAGGACGAAGAATACTAGTACGAATAGGAAAAATAATAGTAAGACGAAGAGGACTAATAATAATCAGGATAATAAGCAACATACTAATACTAATACTAACAACGATAATAATAATACGGATGATAATAATGATACTAATAATAATAATACTAATGTTAGCAACATCAACACCAACAATAATAATATTAATAATAATACTAGCAATAATAATAGTACCAATAGTATTAATACTACTACTACTACTACTACTACTAATACTAATACTAATAATAATAGTAATACTAATAAGACTAGTATTAATAATACTAAGCATAATACTACTACGAATAATAATAATAATAAGAAAATTAATAATAATAAGAATAATCATATTAATACTAGCAATAATAATAATCATACTAATACTACTACTACTACTACTAATAATAATAATAATAAAAATAATAATGATGATGATGATACTGATACTGATAATGATAATGCTAATGATAATAATGATAATGATGATAATAGTAAGAATATACATTTAATCATAATAAGAAGAATAAAAACACGAATACTACCAAGAATATTACGCAGAAGACGAGGAGGAGGAGGAGGAGGCAGGAGGACAAATAATAAGAAGGAGGAAGAGTAGGAGGAGGAGGAGGAGGAGGAGGAGGAGGAGGAGGAGGAGGAGGAGGAGGCAGAAGAAGAAACATAATAGTACCCTAGGAGGCCTCAGGAGGTCTTGGCAGGCCCAGAAGGCTCCAGGAGGCCCCAAGAGGCCGCAGGAGGCCCCAGGCGGAGGCAGGGGGCCTAAGGAGGAGTCAGGAGGAGGAGGAGGAGGAGGAGGAGGAGGAGGAGGAGGAGGAGGAGGGGAGGAGGAGGAGGAGGAGGAGACGAGGAGGAGGAGGAGGAGGAGGAGGAGGAGGAGGAGAGAGGAGGAGGAGGAGAGGCGGGGGAGGGAGAAGGAGAGGAGGAGGAGGGAGAGACGAATGGAGGAGGAGGGAGGAGGAGGAGGAGGAGGAGGAGGTGGAGGAGAGAGGAGAGGGAGGAGGAGGAGGAGGAGGAGAGAGGGTAGGAGGGAGAGGGAGAGGAAACTGAGGAGGAGGAAAAGGAGGAGGTGGTGGAGGAGGGAGGGAGGAGGAGAGGAGGAAGGAGGAGGAGGAGGAGGAGGAGGAGGAGGAGGAGGAGGAGGAGGAGGAGGAGGAGGGAGAGGAGGAGGAGGAGGAGGAGGGAGGAAGAGGAGGAGGAGGAGGAGGAGGAGGAGGAGGAGGAGGAGGACGAGGAGGACGAGGAGGACGAGGAGGAGGAGGAGGAGGAGCAGGAGTCAGGAGGAGGAGGAGGCTGGGGCTCAGGCAGGAGGAGGAGAAGGAGGAGGCAGGAGTCGGTGGGAGAAGGGAGGGGGCAGGAGGAGATCCCCAGGCAAGTTAAACATATTCTCATGCGGGGTCCAATCGTCGGGGTAATTTGGTCTGCAGCAGGTGTGCAAGGTACGCGCGCGTCAGGTGGAGAGACCTGCTCAGCCCATGTCGCCGAGCTGACCCTCGGGTGATAGGCGGTAGTCTCAATTGTATGGCTCGCACCCGATCACAAAATGGCCCATTTAAGGCCAAAGGGTTTGGTCGTTTGGAGTCTAGCACGGGGTCGGCCCGTGTGGTGAAATTCGGCTGCGAGATCTTCGGGCCGCCTGCGTCTCCTCGTTACTCATTCGACCGCGATGCTCCCCAGCGATATTCCTGCTCCCCCCCTCCCCCATCCTCCTCCCTCCTCTCTCCTCCTCCTCTTTCTCCCTAGCTCCTCCTCCTCCTCCTTCTCCCTGGCTGGCTCCTCCTCCTCCTCCTCCTCCTCCTTCTTCTCCTCCTCTTCCTCCCTGGTTCCTCCTGCCCCTCCCGCGGCAGGAGTGGCGGCGATGTCGGCAATCCAATGCTGGGCGTCCGGGCCCGCCGTGGTCACCCTCCGCGTGTCCCCAGCCGCGGGCGCCGGCACGCCAGGCGCGCGAGCCCCTGCCCGTAGATCGTTCAAACACCAAGATGAATTGCATTAGCACTACAATGGATTGCATGAACACTAAGCGTGTAACGAAGGGGCCTGTCTGATCTACACCTGGCCTCGCCCCCGCGTGACTTGTGTGGCCTCGCCTTCTCGTGAATTGCATGGCCTCGCCCCATGGCGGGCTCCCCCATCCCGCTTGCCCTCGTCCCTCGTCTTCCTGCCGCGCCGTCTTCCCTTCCCCGTCTGGCGATGGGAGGGCTGTCGACCTCGCCCCCGCCGCTGCTTACCGCCCGGCCCTGTCCCCTCGTCTGCGGCCGAGGCTGCTCCTTCCCTTTCTCCTCCCCTGCCTCCTGCTCTTCGTCTGGGTAGTCGAAGGCCAGACTGTCAGACTGGATTGGGCCCCAAGGGCCAATCTGGCCTGGCCATATTGGAGGATTTGGGTTATTCGCCAGACTGGATTCGTGTTGGCTCCCTCGCCAGATTGCCCCCGTTTGCCAGATTGGGCCTGCCAGATTGGCGCCAGATTGGCTTCGACTACCCAGTTCGTCCTCTGGCGTGCTTGGTCGCAGCAAGCGCGGCTCAAGCTCCGAGTTGCAGCGCACAGCTCAGAACGGGGCCTCGGAGCACCGAGCCCCGGCCACGGAATTCCCCGCGTGGGCCCCACAGCGCCCGCTCAAGTTGACCCTCTGCGACTTCTCTGAGTCCGGCGGGATGGAGAAGGCGCCAGAGTCGGGCCGGACGAAAGGGGGGGATTGGGAAAGGGTGGGTTACGAAATTTGCTGCATGCAGCTGGTTTCGGCCCCACCGAGGGGCCCATTCCTCGATGCATGGCCGCCTCCCGGCGCCGGGAGGCGCCGGGAAAGTCAGCTCCGTGAGCTGATTCTCAAACCCCCCCTTTGCTATCCCCCCCTTTCGCCCGGACCGACAGAGGGAGGGGGCAAAGAAGGTGGTGGAGGACCAGGGTAACGCCAAGATGCATCAACGATGCTGCATTACACCCTCCCGTTTCAAGTCCGCTCCTCGATAGCCCCTGCAGTTGTTCCTTGACAGTGCTTGAAGCGCCCCCAGTTGACAGACGACCTCCCCGTGGACCTGCCATTCAGGCGAGACCCTAGTTTGTAAAGGACTGATGTTCCGTCCCTACAGCTAGCCCTGACATGCAAAGAGGCTGGGCCATAAGAGCAAGAGAGTGTCCAACGTTCCTTCTGTTTTGAAGGAGGGCCTGTTTCTTACACGCGTATGTCAGAGCGAGTAGGCCGAACGGTCAGTCATTGCCCCTGGGTGCGTGGCTGAAGTGGAAAACCGTGGTGAGGATTATGCATGTTGTGTTGTTGTTGGTGGTGTGGTTGGTCTTGTTGTTGCTGTTGTTGCTGTTGTTAATGTTGTTGTTGTTGTTGTTGTTGTTGTTGTTGGTGTTGTTGTTGTTGTTGTTGTCGTCGTTGTTGTTGTTGTTGTTGTTGTTGTTGTTGTTGCTGTTGTTGTTGTTGTTGTTGTTGGCGTGGTTGTTGTTGCTGTTGTTGTTGTTGTTGTCGTTGTTGTTGCATGTCTTGTTGGTGTTATTGTTGTTATTGTTGTTATTGTTGTTGTTGTTGGTGTGGTTGTTGTTATTATTGTTGTTGTTGCTTTTGTTGTTGTTGCTGTTGTTGTTGCTTTTGTTGTTGTTGACCCCCCCTCCGGTGCACATTATATTTTCTAACTGAAGCGCCCCTCCCGGCGCTCGCACCCTCAAGGAAAGTCTTCTTCCTCAATGTGTGCCCCTGGCCCCCGGTTTACAACAACAACGGCTCACGCTTGATACTTCCTCGAAGTTTACTCTGGTCCCCCACTCCCGCTTGAGAGTTCCTCACAATTTAAAATTAGGAATCGCGCTCCCGCCTGAGACTTCCTTGCAATTTTCTCGGGCGCCGCGCTCTTGCCATTCAGGAATCGCGCGTTCGCTGGGGACTTCCTCAAATTTACTTTGGAATCGCTCTCTCGCTGGAAACTTCCTGGCTCAGCACGCAGAACTAACGATCGATCCGCCCGCTCGGCCCGCCCGTCAGGGTCATGCCCTTCGTGCCCCATGCTCGCTCGCGCCCTTTGTGCCTCATTGCTGCCCTTCGTGGCCCCTCCCCTTGTGGCCCAGTCGCTGTCCTTCGTGGCCCCCATGCTGCCCTCAGTGGCCCCTCGCTGCGCTTTGTGGCCCATCTATACGCCCTTCGTGGCCCCTAGTCGCTCGTGCCCTCAGTGGCCGCATTGCTGCAATTCGCGGCCCCGGTGTAGCACCGTGTGCCCCCCCCCCCCGCTGCCCTCAGTGGCCTCCTCGCGGCCCTGTGTGGCCCCATATATACGCCCTTCGTGGCCCCCAGTCGCTCGTGCCCTCAGTGGGCCCCGTTGCTGCCCTTCGTGGTCCAGTGTAGCCTGGTGTGCCTCCCCCCCGCTGCCCTCAGTGGCCCCCTCGCTGCCAACTGTCGCCCATGCATACGCCCTTCGTGGCCCCCAGTCGCTCGTGCCCTCAGTGGCCCCATTGCTGCCCTTCGTGGCCCCAGTGTAGCCTCGTGTGCCTCCCCTCCGCTGCCCTCAGTGGCCCCCTCGCTGCCAATTGTGGCCCATACATGCGCCCTTCGTGGTCCCCGTTCGCTCGTGTCCTCAGTGGCCCCATTGCTGCCCTTCGTGGCCCCAGTGTAGCCCCGTGTGCCTCCTCCCCGCTGCCGTCAGTGGCCCTCTCGCTGCCCTTTGTGGCTCATATATATATATATATCTCTCTCTTCGTGGCCCCCAGTCGCTCGTGCCCTCAGTGGCCCCGTTGCTGCCCTTCGTGGCCCCAGTGTAGCCCCGTGTGCCCCCGCTGCCAACTGTGGCCCATATATTCGCCTTGCGTGGTCCCATGTCGCTCGTGCCCTCAGTGGCCCCATTGCTGACCTTCGTGGCCCTGGCGTAGGCCTCTTCTGGCCCATATATACGTCCGTCGTGGCCCCAAGTCGCTTGTGTCATCAGTGGCCCCATTGCTGTCCTCAGTGGTCCCGCTGCTGCCCTCAGCGGCCTCCTCGCGGCCCTATGTGGCCCATATATATATGCCCTTCGTGGCCCCCAGTCGCTCGTGTCCTCAGTGACCCCATTGCTGCCCTTCGTGGTCCAGTGTAGCCCCGTGTGCCTCCCCCCCTGCCCTCAGTGGCCCCCTCGCTGGCCTTTGTGGCCCACATCTATATATATATATATATATATATATATATATATATGTATATATATATATATATATACACGCCCTTCGTGGCCCCCAGTCGCTCGTGCCCTCAGTGGCCCTCTCGCTGCCCTTCGTGGCCCCAGTGTAGCCCCGTGTGCCCCCCCCGCTGCCCATTGTGGCCCCGCTGTTGCACTCAGTGGCCCAGACGCTGCCCTTCGTGGCCTCCAGTGGATTGCACCCTCAGTGGCCCCGTTGCTGCCATTCGTGGCTACAGCGTAGCCCTTCGTGGCCCCCTTGCTGCCCTCTGTGGCCCTGGCAATGCCCTCAGTGGCCCCATTGCTGCCCTTCGTGGCCCCCTCGCTGCCCTCAGTGGCCCCCATCGCTGCTAATTGTGGCCCTGTTGCTGCCCTTGGTGGCCCATGTATACGCCCTTCGTGGCCTCCGCTCGCTCGTGCCCTCAGTGGGCCCCAGTGTAGCGCTCAGTGGCCCCCTCGCTGCCCTTCGTGGCCCATTTATATGCCCTTCGTGGCTCCTAGTCGCTCGTGTTCTCAGTGGCCCCATTGCTGCTCTTTGTGGCCCCTGTCTAGCCCCGTGTGGCCCCCCCCCTCGCTGCCCACCGTGGCCCCCTCGCTGCCCTTTGTGGCCCCATATGCGCCCTTCGTGGCCTCAAGTCGCTTGTACCCTCTGTGGCTCCATTGCTGCCCTTCGTGGCCCCAGCGTAGCCCCGTGTGCCCCCCCCCCGCCTCCCACTGTGGCCCCGCTGCTGCTCTTTGTGGCCCCGTGTGCCCCCCCGCGCCCACTGTGGCACCGCTGCTGCTCTCAGTGGCCCAGGCGCTGCCCTTTGTGGCCCCATATATGCCCTTCGTGGCCTCCCGTGGCTTGCGCCCTCTGTGGCCCCGTTGCTGCCCTTCGTGGCCCCAGAGTAGCCCTTCGTGGCCCCCTTGCTGCCGTTTGGGGCCCCGTCAATGCCCTCAGTGGCCTTCGCTGCCTTTTGTGGTCCCCTCGCTGCCCTCAGTGGCCCCCATCGCTGCCAATTGAGGCCCCGTCGCTGCCTTCAGTGGCCCCTCGCTGCCCTTTGTGGCCCCGCGCCTGCCTTCCGTGGCCCCGTGCATGCCCTTCTTGGCCCCTGCTTGCTCGCGCCCCGCGAGGCCCCATTGCTGGTAGCTGCCCCTCGTGGCCCCAATCGCTGCCCGTCGCGGCCCCGCTCGCTGCCCTTCCTGGCCCCGCGCGTTCTTGCCCTTCGTGGCCCCGATCGCTGCCCGCCGTGGCCCCGCTTACTGCCCCACGTGGCCCCGCTCGCAGCCCTTCGTGGCCCCGTGCGTTCTTGCCCCTTTGTGGCCCCGCTCGCTGCCCTTTCTGGCCCCGCTCGGTGCCCTTCCCGGCCCCGCTCGGTGCCCTTCGTGGCCCCGCTCGCCGCCCTCCGTGGCCCCGCGCGTTCTTGCCCTTCGTGGCCCCTTGCTGCCCCTCGTGGCCCCGCGCATTCTTGCCCCTCGTGGCCCCGCTCGCCGCCCGTCGCGTCCCCGCTCGCTTCCGCGTGTGGCCCCGCGCGTTCGTTCCCCTCGTGGCCCCGTTCGCTGCCCCTCGTGGCCCTGTGCGTCCCTTGCCTCCCTCCCTTCCCCCACTCCTTTCCTCCTCGCTTTTTCTTTTTTTTGTTGTTGTCTCTCTCTCTCTCTCTGTCCCTGTCCGTTTCAGTCGCTCTATCTTTCTCTCTCACTCTCTCTCTCTCTCTCTCCTTTCTCACTCCTCTTGCTCTTTCAGGGGCTGCGCCCAATACATGTGGCAGGTCAGGAAGCGATCGCAGACGAAGAGGGCGGGTATCGGGTTTTGGGATATACGTGGTGAGGTACGCACGAGCAGGTAAGAGCGAACAGTCTTACAACGATTGTTGTTGTCGTTGTCGTTGTCGTTGTCGTCGTTGTCGTTGTCGTTGTCGTTGTCGTTGTCGTTGTCGTTGTCGTTGTCGTTGTTGCTGTTGTTGTTGTTGTTGTTGTTGTTGTTGTTGTTGAACATTATTAATTCTAAAGAATAATTATTGTTGGGGCCCCTGGTGCACGGCCCCCCTGCGCCGCCTAGGCCGCAGCTACATTTTCATCATTTTCGTGAGGAAACCTAAGGTAATTCGATGTGATCAAGATCCGGTTGTTTTGTTCCCCCCCGCTTTCCCTTGCAAAAAACACTATAACATGACATTTCTTGTTCTAATATAATCAAATTTCAAGAATCCTTTGCAAAAAATAAGGTAAAGTGGACATTCGCGCGCGCAAGACGAAATCCTTCCAAAAGCTTAGTGTTCGGAGCGATTTCAACATAAAAACATCAAAAAAACTAATGGTTTTTCAACAAAAAAATGTCAAAATCTCATCCCGCGCGCTCTTGCGGATTCGTAGGAAACCCAACACTTTTTAAACATTTCTGTCAAACGGGCTTTTGCGAGCAACTTTTTCGAACTTCTGCGACAACGGTTGCGCACCTGCCAGGGCCATCATCCCTGTCAAATAATACCATGCGGGACACATTCGTTTTTTCTTCGCGCGCGCACGCCGAAATCTCCAAAAAC